AAATTTATTTAATTGCGCAATAAATGTATGTACTTTTATAATTTTTAATAAGAAGTTGCACACTTCAACAGTACCTCAACACTGAGAACCCTGTATTAATCTTACGTGAGATTTAAATTAGAATATGGGTCATTGGTGTGGCTTGGAGTTGATCCAGAGACGGTTAGTTAAATACACACTTTTTAGGGAAGATAATGTAAATCTCTATAGAGGATTTGACCATCAGGTACTATTAGGCAGGTTCGGGGAATCATCTCTGGGGGTTAGAAGGGACATTTATTCTTTAAAATTTCTGTATGGGCTTTTGTATGGTACGGTGAACTCTGAGTGACTTTTAAGCCAGGTAAGTACGTCCCCAGAATTGAGGCCAGATTTAGACCTACATTTCATTTTCCTACACCTAGGATAAATATTTTATATCAGTCGTCAATTTTGTTTATGAGGATACACTTCGTGAGATTTTTTTTTGCTTCATGTGCAGAGCTGATTACTGCTTACAGTACGTTTACGAGTAAATGTACTGTACAGTACTTTCATTATTTTTCTCTTATTTATATATTTTCTGTTGGAGTAAACCTGTTGAAATAAATTTGCTTATTATATATTATTACATTATATAGATGTGTCATTTTTCCCCTTTTTTGAAAGTCGGATTCAAAATGCTTCTTTAATATTTCATCGTGTAATGTGTCGTCTTAATATTCGATTATCTCTTTCGATATTTCGATTTTCTGTTCTTTTGTTTCACTACCTTTTGTGGTATTTTGTCTAAGGAAATTCCCCTATTTTTGAATTGGTTGCCCTTTTCATCCTTATGTGGTGGTTCTTGTTGAGTTCTTGAGTTTTTCGAAATGTCTTTTCCATTCTTCTACCATAATTCTTGTATGTACTCATGTATTAGTTTTTTTCTATTTCTCTGATTTTTCGAATGCTTTCATTGGCCCTCCTCCTTTCTTTGAACCAAGGCTTTGTATTTCGTCTTCTCCACTCTTTTACAGCCCTTCTTATATATGGTTTTGCTGCTTCTATTATTTTTTCCATGGAGTTTTAATGTCATCGAACTCTTGAATTCTCTTAGTAGCTATTTTTCCTTAAGTTTTTTTTTTGATGTAGGTATATTGAGTTGTCGAATGGGGTTTCTATATTCAGTTTACTTATTTTGACGGTGTGCTACAAGATGGTGATTTTTTCCAGCATTGGTGGAAGCTGAATATCTCACGTCCTGCGTTGTTGTCGGATGAATAGTTTTACTTTACGTAGTCTTTTGTTGATGTAATTCCTCGTGCATTTTCGAAGGTGTATTTGTGATGTGGGTTGTGGGGATATAAATTGTAAATCGTGTTAAGTTTTCACCGGTCTCATTAATTGTTAAATCGATATTTGATACCTGGTATAACTTAATCCCCAATTCTGGCATTAAAACCATCTTCATTAAAGATATCGTTGTAACGTCTGGTAAAATAAATCTATCTCCGGATGTTGTTTGGTAATATCAGGTGCCTAGAGTTCTTATTATTACATCATATTTATTATAATATATTCTATAAATTAAATAGGATTGTGGACCATCTTATACCCATCCATTAAGATTTAAATGAAAAGATTAAACTACATTGTCTGCTTACCAGGGAGGTCTAACCAGCACCCGTTAAAATTTCACTCATACTAATTCAAGTTAGCCTACAAATAATGTACGGGCGACATTCCTTTTCTTCTCCTCATTATTTAGTAATAGTTTTTATTTTTGATATACTTTTCATTTAGTACCTAGGTGTGTGTGTGTGTGTGTGTGTGTGTGTGTGTGTGTGTGTGTGTGTGTGTGTGTGTGTGTGCGTGCGTGTGTGTGTGTGTGTGTGTGTGTGTGTGTGTGTGTGTGTATGTGTGTGTGTGTATGTGAATTGTAAAAGGCAAATAATTTTCCTTTTCTCCTTAAAAACAGTTAATCTATTGTCAATTTATAATTAATCTAAACTCTATTACTATTTCTAATTAATTTCCTTTTATATTACCACATTAATTAATATTGACTGAATTATGCAAAGTGTTGTTATTATATCCGGATTTCTAAGCCTTGCGTTTGAGATAAAATATTTGCTATTTGTATATTTAAAAAATAAGTGTAAACATTTAGCAGTCGTAAATTTGTCAACAAAAGTTCGATAATTATTCCTCAACAAAGGAAGCGGGTATTTATTACAAATGTATGCAATCAATAGCTAGCAATTGGTTTTAAATCTTTTTTTTTATAGTTTTGACGGCCGTCTTTATTACGCGATGTGGATTAAAATTATCCCCCGGCGCCCAACGAGAGAGAGAGAGAGAGAGAGAGAGAGACTTAAAAAAATGTATATTTAGATAAAACAAGTTTTAGCGTCCGAAATGTTCGCAATTTTCTCGGCATAAAGAACGCAATTTTGTGCAAGTAATGTCGCTGCAAAAACCTTCTAGCAGAAACCGCAAAATCCGGAAGACACCAACAGGCGATCAGGCGGCGAACGCTTTAAACGTTTCAATGTCGCCGTATCGCCGAAGGACTAAAAGTAATTAAATTAAGGGAAACGTTGAAAAATTGGTATAAATATATTATTTCACAAATATTTTCCGCCAAACTACCAATAAACTGCTACTGCTACCTAACTAATATAATCCACTGCTTGAAGTTTTAATATAAGGTAAGTTATATTTATAACGCATTTATAAGAAACCCTAAGTTTTATAACAGTTTTTACAGTTTTATAAGAAAAGTATTGATCAAGTCTTATTTATAAAATCTTTGGTTATATTTGTTATTTATTTTTATTTTTTTTAAGTTTTACAGCGGTCTTAAAAGCCTTTTACTCTTTACTTCTTATAGCGTAAAACCCGTATAAATCTTGAAAAGATGCTTGAATCACCTAACAAATATTTTACAGCTACTATGGTACCTGGAATCCCGTGCGCTTGGAAAGACGGTGCAGTTTGCCCAACTTCCTTCGTTTGCACAATTGTAAAAGGCATGTTTAGTTTAATTCCCAACTTTATCTAGATATTTATGACACTAAGCACACTTCTTCCAAGAACAAATAAATAAACAACAACTGAAAAGTGAGGTTTATAATAGTATAAATGACATTTGACATTTATGTACTAGGATAGTTTTCCAGTTCCTTTTAGTGTTATAGCCGACTAACCAAAACTAACGAAGGTTTTTATAAATACCTTTTTGGGAATTTATGAAACATCCAATTATTGCAAGAGCAGTATTGCTATTAAAAAACAAGATAAGTTTCATAAAAGTTTCCAAGATACCTAATGTTACTTGAAAGTTCATATAAAACTGTAAGATTTTAAAAGAAATCGCATTTTAAGAAATATTCCTGAAGCTTGAAGACATATTTTTTCATGAATGTACGATTAGAAAATTACCTGCATTTCAATTGGAAAATAATTATGAGACATAATTGTAACTTCAGGTTTTTTCCAAAAGTACGTTTTAAAATACTTCAATTTTAAGAACTGCTAAATATAGAATGATTTGATATATTTTTTGTGCCAGATAAAATTAAATCATAGTAGAAAATTTTTAGAGTTTTTATAATATTATTAAGACATTTTTCATATTCACGTTAAAGTCCTTTAGAGTAAAACCAAAATAAATGATAATAACAAGGACACAAAAAGGGAGAAGCCAAAAGGGGGAGTTTCTTGTTGGGTGTTTATAAACATTGTAAGTAGGTTTTAAAGTGGTAACGAAAATGGTATTCCTTGCCGTTTTAATAGTATATTATGCAAAAAGTGCGGTAAACGGCATTTGACTTACGAGTTTATTTGACACGAACGGTGCGAGTGTTTTATAGACGAGTGACTTAAAAGATTTACCGAACGTGTTGCATACTATACTTTTTCTAAGACCGTTAGTTTTTGGGTACATTTTTGCAAAGTAATACGAATACATTCACTGACATGGCCGTCAGAATTAACAAACGTCAAAATTCAAGGCATGGGAAATATCTCCGAAAACATCCGATTGCTCTCAAGCCTGTGCGGTAAAATCCCGGAAATGTCCGAAGTGGCTCGGATTCATGGGAAACGAAACTGACGTGATAAGGTGACGCTTCCCGCACGCTAGATCGGTGTGTAATTAGGTGACTTAAAAAAAGTACCGAACGTGTTGCATACTATACTTTTTCTACTCCCGTCTGTAAAATGCCTAATTACACACCGATCTAGCATGTGGGAAGCTTCGCTTAACCACGTCAGTTTCGTTTTCCATGGATCCAAGTAACTTCGGGCATTTCCGTACGAGATTGCGAGCAATGGGATGTTTTCGGAGATATTTCCCACGGCTTGAACTTTGACGTCTGTCACTTCTGACGGTCATGTCAGTGAATGTATTCTAACGTTCCTAGAAAAAGTATAGTATGCAACACGTTCGGTAAACTTTTTACGTCACTCGTCCATTAAACACTCGGTTCGCCGCGCTACGCTCGTGTCAAATAAACTCGTGAGTCAAATGTCGTTTACCGCACTTGTTGCATAATATACTATTTTCTACGACCGTTGCTTCGGGGGTACATTTTCGCAAAACAACGCGAATACATTCACTGACATGACCGTCAGAATTGATAAACGTCAAAATTCAAGGCGTGTCAAAAATCTCCCGATTGCTCCCAAACCCGTGCGGTAATATGCCGGAAATGTCCGAAGTGGCTCAGATCCGTGGGAAACGAAACTGACGTGGTAAAGTGACGCTTCCCGCACGCTGGATTGGTGTGTAATTAGGTATTTTATAGACTGGAGTACAAAAAAACTTACTTATGGTTTATAAAGGCAACCTCTTAGTTGTAATTAAGTGGAGAGTTTTATATGTGACTAAAATTTGGACACCGGTAGCTTATTCTCCCTTTAAGCGCTGTAGTTTTATAAGAGCAACGAAATCGTTTCGCGAAAAATTCTGTTCGGGAGTTATATTATTCTTATTTCGATTTTATTTTTCTATGTTTAAATGTTTTTACTTCTAGATATCCGTACATATTCGGCGGCACTTTCTGTTTCCTGCGGGGACTGCTGGCCGAGACGTCAGGGAACGCTACAGTGTTGACCATTACCGGCTTCACCGTGGAACGCTACCTCGCGATATGTCATCCGTTTCTGTCGCAGACGATGTCCAAATTGTCCAGGGCCATCAAGTTTATCCTCTTCATATGGCTGGTAAGTCGGGCGGCTCGCGGTCGCGGAAAACTTTACTGTGAAACTTTTCCGGAACACTGATTTGCTGCAGTGACACATTTGCGCAAAACTTTTCTCCATAAATAAAGGCGGTGGCAAGAACTTTTTATCGTATACTGTAAACCGGAATTCGCGAAGCTCCTACGTCTTTATCAGGGGCGAAACTCAATCTAATTTCAACTAAAACTTGACAAAAAACGTTTCGGAAGAGCATATTCTACGTGATTTAGAAAGCTGCGATGTACGTCGCGCAAGCGGAGGCTAATTCGAGACGAAAGTTGTTACCCTGCGAACTTCAACGTCCAACTAAATTTGCTGATGGGATTCTAGGGGATTGAATTTCATTTTAAGCCGAAAACTCTCTTCGTTCTAAAGTGTATGAAATAAAGAAAAGTAGGAAACGTTGATATCGGATACACTACGTTGGGTATAGTATCGATCGATCAAAGATTCATCAATAAACAAATTATTTTGCAATTTAACTTACTACTAGGAAAACTTAAAACTAAAGTATTGCTCAACAGCAGTCCTTAGACTATAATTACTTAAACAATTAATTAAGTGTACACTAATAGGACTTTACTTTGCCTTTACACTGACACTTAAAGTAAGTCATAGGGTTTGGTTCTCTTGAGTCTCCTAAGCAGTCTCGTGTCGAGCTGTTCGTGACTCTGGGCGAATTTTTTAATGGTTTGGCTAAACAGTTTTCATATCCAAGTCCCTATGGAGGTCACTGGTCCTAAAATACCAATATTAATCTTTTTGGCACTGCCCCACAGCTGCAAGCCATATTCCCATATGGGTTTAAAAATGTGTTTATACAGCAAGAGTTTATTGTAAGTTGACAGGGTGGAATGCTTACTTAATAGCCAATACATTTTCTTATATTTGAGCAAAGTTCTTCTCTCTTCTTTTTTGACATGGGCCTCTGGCGTAGATTAGCGTCCAAAGTAATACCCAAATATTTTGCGGTATTGGCATATAGTATTCCCATATTATCTTTACTAATTACTATATACTAATATAGGGACCGCGTTTATTTGTGAAGTGGGGATTTGGTTTCGTTAAATTTAATTCGTCAACGTTTTGCTCAGTCGTTGATTAGCAGATATTTGCAGATTTCTAGCTGCTTTTTTAATTAATTTTAATTTTTGCCCACAGTGTCATCTGCAAAGGTGGCTATCATATGACGTATTAATTCGGAAATGTCAATGGTGTATAACAGGTATAGAACTGGCCCAGTAGACTGCCTTGTGAATCTCCTTTTTTAATGTTCTTTATTTCAGATTAGGCATCCTGTTGTGTAATTCTAAAATCTCCATCTGAAATGTACGATTCCAGTAATTGTGTGTATTGTTTCGGCCAAAGGCTTTCTTAACTTATACTTAAGTCCCTCATGCCACACTCTATTAAAAGCTTGCTAGACATCAAAGAAAATGGTAGAGCAAATTTTTCTTCCATCTAAGGCGTTCTCGATCGCGTCTGTTATTCTGTGGACCTGTGGACCTGGTCCAAGTGAGTTGAGTGACTTTTTCTAAAGCCAAAGTGATGTGACGGAATTGGGTTATCAATTTATCAGTCTTCTTATTTTTCTTGGATAGTCATTATCTTTGATGATTGGAAGAATGGTGGGGGTATTATCCCAAGCAGCCTGTTGAATATCCTTCACAAAAGTTTCTCTTTCTTTATCAAGTTGTTCTTCGTTTCTTAAAGGGTCTGACACATTTATATTTTCTTCAAAAGTTGTAGTTTAAAGCTGCGCCAATCGGCCAATTTATTAACTAATCTAGGAACTAATTCCTTTTGAATGATGCTTTCACTGAGTGTGAGAAGGATGGGCTAGTGAACGGAGTTCATGTCCTATGCTTCCTCAACATACATATATTTCACAGACACGTTTCGGGTTAAGAAGAAATCAATTAAATCTGAGATTTTATTTGGTTCTATAGGCTAATATGTGGGCTTTCGAGTTGCAAGTGTATCACATTTTTGCTTTTTGGTTGCTAAGAAAAGTGATTTTTCGTTAGTTGTTGTTAGTTATTGTTTTAGAGCTTGACGGGCAGTATTCTGATGAAACTACGATCTCATATGTTCTCGTTTTAACATTAACAGCCGTATAAATATGTAATAAAAATTGAGCACCCGACCTCTATACCTTATAAATGTTTCTCAAAAGTTAGCTTATATGGGACTGTTCAACTACTGCAACAACTGCGCAGCGCCAAGGATCTGCAAACGTACTCTTAGGAGCCCGAACGTACTCTTATCTCGTTCGTATTCGTCGATGACAAATACCAAGAACCACTGGCAGCTGCCCCCTGAAGACCTGTGCAATCTGAAAACATCGCACCACCTACGCCTAAAGCCACTCACACTCATCAACGAAGAAACGTCGATTCCCTATTGTTCAGGCGAAAGACTAAATATTAATTTGACGCAACCCGGCAACACCGCACTAGGACAAGGATGAAAAAGACAGGTCCCGACGGGATTCACGCGTGGAACGGGTGTGGGTCGAGACGCTCCGCGAATGCCTCCTAATTTCAATTAATTTTGATATGCAATACAAATGTTTGTTTGTTTCTTTCTGTTTGGCTTGCAGAGTACCGTATATTTATTAAAGTAGTGAAGAACAAAGTTAAGTGGTTATTACTCCGCTGAACCTATCGGGAATCCAAAAGATTCCTAAGTGGTCCTTCGAACTCTGAAAACAGCGTTAGCCCGACCACCTATAAAGATGGGTTGGCTCAAACGGTGAAACAGAAGAAGTTTCAAAATATGATGAAGCAAGGAAGGCAGCTGCAAAAATATCTGCTCTTAAAGAAACAAGCAGCCGGGAGCATTATAAGAACGGATTCGTGTGGAGTTTGTTCTATTGATGACAGGAGGATTGTTCCAATTATCTTGGGACTGGGAGGTTCTCGCGTCGTCATTATTAAGTACCTACACTTTCAGATTACTGCAAAACACTGTCCATTTATTTACTTATAACTCACTATTTCACGGTTGATGCTACCTTAGACGTTTACGGCGAACGTTACATTGGATTTTTCTGAAAATTTGGTTAGTCCCGAATATTTTTAACGCTGCGACGTTGACGGTTCTTAGAAAAAGTAGCGTCAATATTGAAATTTAAAATGGGACACAATCTTTATTATTGCAGTTTCCAATCCGCTTATGCTTTATGATTGTTTTTGGGTAATATTTTCCTATACCTATCTTCAGCGGTTTTCGAAAAAATAATTATTTAATTCATTTTTCCGACCAAAACATAGCTTCAATTAAGTTTTTATTGCTACGACACTGGAATCAGCAGTACCAGTAGTACATTATTTCTTAATATCGAAATTATACATTACTTACCTACGAGAGACATTTTTTTATTATTTTTTAAATTCTGGCAAATTTTCTGTTGGTTCATGTGTTGTAAATCAGGGTATGTTTCATTAAATGTTCTGCATGCCCTGGCTATCATGTGGTTGGATTGTCCATACATAATAAACAAATTGATGAAAACAGCATTGGAATACTGATTTGCTTCCATTTTGAACCGATTTTATCGACAAAATTTGCACCACAATCAATAATGAACTGTCAAACGGAAAATGAATTATTCAACATAAGACGGATATTTCATGGCCACCTAAAAAACAGATTATGCCAAAGCAATTCAGTTTTCGAAATACTTTCTTTTATTTCAGAAACCAAACTATTTAGGTATAGGAACATGAAACGTGATTTGAAAAAAATTAATTTGCTCCTAGAATATGTAATCTACAGGGTGTATCGTTTTAAAAAATGCACTTTTCACCATTTATGTATCTGGTAGACAAATCATTAGTTTTTACCAACCCTGTGTAATGTAGAACTGACTTCCATATTAGTCAATTCTATGCGATACCATCCTAAGCTACGGGCAAAATTTTTGACTTTCTACTGGGTCCAGCACCATAGCAATAAAAATTTAATGAAAGCTATGTTTTGGTCGAAAAAATGAAGAAAATAATTATTATCTCGAAAACCGTATAGATGGTAGATGATAGGATACACATGATGTCCCATTTAAAATTTCAGTGTTGTTGAGCATCGCCGTTTATGGAACTAATCAAATTTTCGTTACGGATTAAATTTATTTTTTGTTGCTTCAAACTGTTGTTTGTTATAAAAACATAAATAGGATTGCGCACTCTCAAGTTCCAGAATGCGTACTTTTAGGAACTGGGTACGATAATAATATGTACGATAAACAATATACAGATTAAACAACGACTTTCAGAGCCACGTTAGGTAATCTAGAATATATTAAGATTCTATTAAATCTGTTTAATTAAAACAATTCTACTAAGTGCGTACTCTTGGGCGAATCTCCCCCAAAAGAAGTATTTCGGGAGTGCTTTCATAGAATCAGAAAATGTTCCGTTACAAAAAGCTTACAGCGGCTTTTTAAAGCTCACTCTTTTGCACTTTTTCGAAAAAATGTTTTTATAAAAGTTAAGCCACGTCAGTTTTCGTGGGCACTTTTTCTTTAAAAATCCCGATTTGGTCGACCCATTTGTTTCTTATTATTCAATCTAAAAATATCGAGCTTTCTATCCGGGGAGTTTGTCTCCGGCGTTTGATTCGATTACACTCCTTTTGCCGCTTTGAGCACGAATGTTAAGAACCATATTACTATGGGAGCAGATCCAGAATCGTTTAAAAATAAAAAATATTACTGACACTTCACCTTGAATGTCGGAGAAAATATACAACCGGGGATGTTTCCCAGTTAGGAAGTAAATTTTCCCGCCATAAGTTAAGTAAAGAAAAATGGCCGCCGGCGTCGAGTGGACGTTATTTTTCAAACCCGCTCTCCTGTCTTTTCCAATTGAAATTCAGGGTTTGAACAAGAGAGATTTATAGATGTCGTTGGTTTTGGCTCTAATAAAAGTTTCCCAATATTCAACATGATGTCGAGAATTGCGGGAGTGCGCCTCCGGGCA